CAGGGCTGTTTGTTACCTGTGTTTATTTATTATTTATTTCTGTGTTTTCAAGCTGGTCTCCCCTGTAGTCCCTGGGTCCCGGGTGTGTCTGCGGAACCCTGTGAGAGGCCTCGAGGGTGCTGTGCAGCCCTGTGAGCGCACTGGCCCTGGCCTCTGTGCGGATGGGTTTGCGGCTGTCTTCGCACTTGCCCTCTGCTCTGGGAGCTTCGCCCTGTGCCCGTAGAGGGGCTCGTGCCTTCTCCAGGTCCCCAGCCCTGGCACACGCCGGCCTGGGGCCTCCAGCCTGGGCTCCCTTGCCAGGGCTCCCTGCTTTTCTGTGTGCCCCACTGGCAGCATCTCCTTCTTCCCAGCCACAGCTCCCTCGGTCTCACCTGCTGGTTTGTTCTGTTTTGTTTTATAGCATCACTGGTAAACTTTCCTCATTTTCATGGTGGGCATTGAACCTGAGCTTTTGCACTGAGTTGCATCCCCAGTTCTTTTTTATTTTTCATTTTCAGACAGGGTCTAAGTTCCCCAGGGTGGGCTGAAACTAGCAGTCCTCCTGCCTCAGCCTCCCATAGTGCTCTGTTTCTGTCTTGGTCAGCTCTTTTATTGCCCTTGTTCCTGGCCTCCGTAGTGCTGTCTGGCCCAACACAAGTGACAGATATTTTCTCTTTTTTCTGGTTCTTATCGCTAACTATAACAGGACACTGCTTTTGCTTTTGTGGTGAGAATACCACTGCTTTTAACTATGACAGCACACTTGTTTCTGCTTTGGGGTGGACAGTGGTCAGCTCTCCCATTGCTGGTATAAAACACCTGACCTGCGCAGCTTCAGGAGGAGAGGTTTAACTTGGCTCACAGTTTAGAGGGTTCAGTCTGTGGCTGTCTGGTGGAAGGGTAAATAGAACAAGGCACTCCCTTCATGGTAGCCAGGAAGCAGAGCCTAGGGACAGCCAGAAGGAAGGGACCCCAAGTGTGGACCAAGTGTGGACCCCGAGGCCACCAGACACACCTCAGGGCCTGCCTTCCCGACCCAGCAGCTCCCCAAGGGCTAAGCTTAACTGCCATGGGGTGATCTCTGGCTACAGCGTCACCCGTGCCACAAGCTCCCATGGTAGATACGAGAAGAAACATTTTTTATTCATGTGGGGCAAGTGTGGGGGCTTTGAAGTCTCTCAGCTGTGTCTTCAGCTCACTGTGCACCTATTGGTTTCCTTACTTTGACAGCACAGTCTGACTCCTTTGACTCTTGTGCACAAGCCTAGACTTACCAAGTGCTTTCCTTTTGACTCTTCACTGAGTGTAGTTTTTAGGGAAACATCTCATGGGTAATGAAAACCGTGTCCCAACAACCCAACTAAACTTGAATGTTCTGAAATGTATGTAAAGAGTCTCAAAACATGTCTTTCAGGTCACAGTCCTCAATAGAAAAAGAAATAAGTGCACTAAAATAACTCAAACTTGGGCTGGGGATTTAGCTCAGCGGTTCGGTGGCCTATCTTGTAAGCATAAGGACCCAAGTTCGGTCCCTGGTACCACACACACACACACACACACACACACACACACACACAAATTCAAACTTTATCATAGCCCCAAACTGATAATTAGTTGCTGATAATAGGAGCATGGTAATGACAAGATACTCACTGGTTAGAAATTTTCTGTAGCTATTCAGATCATCAATGCAAGGTCCCTTCTTTCATCCCTTTGATTACCATGTGGATGTGATGGCTGGTTCTCTAGCTGCCATCTTGAGCTGTGAAGATGCTGTAGGGGCAGCTGTGTGCTGGGGGGGAGAATGCTTGTTGGATGAGAAGCAAAATCACACCTGCCCAGACTACAAACCTCTGGACTTTGATGTAAGAGAAAAAGTTACACTTCTCTGAACACAGTTCAATTGTACATTGTTATTTGATTTAAATGTCTGGAATATTTTTGCATATTAGAAGCTTGCAAGAAATTTTCTATAGATTATTATTTTAATTTTCTAAGTATTATTTAAAGTGCACGCATGCCTAAGTCCGAGCTGCACAGGGACTTGAGCACCTGTGAGTGTGGGTACCTGCAGGGTTCCTGGAACGGATTCCCCGCGGATACGGAAAGAGGACTCTGAGCCAAGCTTTCCGTAAAGAGTAGAACGCGGGTCACAGCTGAAACTGCCTTTTAGAAAGTTTTAATTGATGAGGAAGTTTAGGTAGGTGCAGGACTTACTCTACGGATCCTGTTAATTTGTACTGATCATTCTCTTGGAGGAACTGTGTTCCCCTGCTGAGGGCGGTTGGTGCGCGACGGCAGAGCGGGGCTTCTTCCCGTGCGTCCTCTGGGAGGCGGCCCGGGCCGCGGCCTCGCGCAGCAGCGGTGTCTGTTACGATCTCTGAGGAACTTTTTCCCAGTAGCGTTTATTTGTACACGGATTCCTATTTATTCATATTGTCTCCAGAATGACAGACTTTTGTGTAGTTTTTAATAAAAGGCAATGTTATGCGGTATATTTTCACGACAGATGTTAACACCTAAGTGGGTATGGTATTGTGTAGTGTACAGTGCGCCCTGCGCGTAAGGAAATAAACGTTGGGGGTCCGAGCCGGCGTCCGCGCCTGTGCGCGCCCTAACTCGCTCTGTGCCCTGCAGTTTCTGCTGGGGCCGGGGCGCCGGGACATCCGCAACGTGAGTGGCTGGAGGGGTGACGCGTGGAGAAGTCCCAGGCCCTGCGGCCGCAGACGGGACCCGAATCGGCCAGGCAGATCAGCTGTGTGGACGGACGGAGTGGAGCCCGAGGAGCCGCCACCTGGGCCCTGGTTAGGGGAACAAGAGGGCGACCCAGGCAGTCGGGGCCACCGAGGGGAA